GTGGGGTAACCTGAGAATGGAATGTTGTTGTTAATGTTTGAATTTCCTGGTTTTTCTGTGCCTACTGTGCCTTTAGTGCTGATTCATAGGATATTTGTCTTTGTATAATGAAACTGTACCCTAGGCACATAGCTGTTTGTGTCTGCATGTGTGCATGCTTGCATACACCTGTATGCTAACAGATAGTTAATGAGTAGCAAATGTTCCAGACAAATAATGCAGAGTACCATCTGTGTGGTCTTGAATATGGAGTATTCCTGGACTGTTTGGTGCAATGTGTGAAACCAAAACCCTTGGTTGTTGAACGACAAGCAACCCAAAGTTTCAACACGTTTTTGGTGGGTTAAAATGCTAGGTTGTTTTCTCCTCAACCCCCTGAGTGCTGGGTTTGCACATCACATCAAATAAGCTGATGTACAGAAATGGCAAACATGAGAGAGGCTGTGCACTCGCATGGTTTAAAGAACCCATAAATTGGCATTGCCTGTGAACCAGGTCAATATAGACTCTTTCCTGTGTTGACTAGATTAGAAAAATAGTTTTGATGTCCTCTTAAATGTGTACTGTTTCCATGTAAAAACCTGACACTTGCTAATATGTCTAAAACAACCTTTCAAAAACTATCTCTGCAGAGTTTGCCTTACAGCATGTTTCAATGTTCTTTCGGTCGGAGCCAAAGTGGGAAGTGGTGGAACCATTAAAGGATATAGGTAAGAGTTGTGTTTGCTTGTTAAAGTTATTGTGCTACAAACCTCAGAGTTAGGCAATTAGTGTGCTGAGGTCTCAGAATTGAATTACATGGGATACCATTTATGCAATTACCAGTTTTGTGAATGACTTGTTAAAAAGAAGTAAGGAAATGTAAGCGGCCTGATTCTAGCTGGAGTCCTGATTGGTGGAGGGAGGGGGGCTTTAAACTTTTGTCTCCTTCTGTGGTCTGATTTGTAGTGAGGTTATGTTTCTTTCGAATACAAAAAGCAGATGTATGGCCCTGATCCAGATTGGTTCCCCGGCAGGGGATAAGAAGTTAATACTCTCTATTCCCCACCACCACTTCCTGACAGGATGGTGCCCTCCAAGCCTTCTATTTACTTTTAAAACTAACAATTCATGCAGTCTGGGAGATCTAATTTGGTCCTCAGACAGTGTTCTTTTCCAGTCCTGTCTCAAAGAGCCTTGTTAACTGGAAATGCCAGGGAATTAATCTGAGCCCTTTTCATACACCATGTTGCCTGCTGTTAAACTTTGACTCTTCAGTATTTCCAGTATATCTTAAATGAGCTGCTCTCCAGTTACGGGGTCACAACAGGTTCCCGGCTGGGTTACACAATCGGGACCCTTTATTTCTTTTACTGGACCAGTAGTGCATCACCGCTGTGGTGCAGTGCTGTAAGAGACAGGCTCCCTTCCCATACACCAGGGTGCAGAGAAGTGTTTGGAGGCCTCATTTCAGTGGTGGCGTCAATGGCATAAGGGGCAGGGCCTAAATATCAGAAATAGCAGCATGTTTTAATTTAAAGCATTTGCTGTCCAATATCTAAGCTTTAAGAGAAGCGATCTTTAGAATGGGAAAAAACTGCACAAATACCTAGAAGCCACCCAGTGAATGGTGGTTGAGGGAAAGGGGGTGGGACTGGGAGGGGAGGGGAGGGGGTGGGGCATTTTGGGGAACCCCAAAGGGCCAGATGGCTGATTTGGCTCCTAGACATGAAGCTCTGCACCTCTGCTATATGTCATGCTGCAATTCTACTAAAATACTTGAGCAGTGGAAAAATGGAAGTTGAAAAATTATTTTCATTATGAAAAATCATAATGAAAAATTATGAGCTCTAGATTTTATATGCTTGTATTTTCTGTTTTAGAAGGGGAAATAAGGCTGTAAAGGTAGAGTTAATTTGCAGCTTGGTTCCAGTCAAAACGTTTGGGAAGTGCTATCTTAACTCAACCTGTAAAACAAAGGATTAAGTTGTTAATTTTAAGGAAAGCTCCCATTCTTTGATATTAATACTACTACTGAAATCCACTTCTTGCTCATTAGGAAAACCAAAGGTAATGAGTGCATGTTTGGACACTGTTGAATGAACCTGAATGGGCACAGCTTGCCATGTAACTGCAGGAGTTCTGAGATCAGGCTGGGCACATTTTTGACAACCTGCTTCTAGGAATGTGGCTTGTATAGGGAATGAAAACTCTGCTCGGAGTTCTGCGGCAGTAAAAGACAAACTAGTGTTGCATTTGTGACTGTGGTTGTTCCTTTTAGGCTGGAGGATACGGAAGAAGTACTTCTTAATGAAGATCAAAAATCAACCAAAGGAACGGCTAATGTTAAGCTGGGCAAGTTCCATCTATATGCTTGTGTGTGGGGGTGCGCGCGTATGTTTCCTCTCCTCTTTCAGAATTGCCATTGTGGGTTAGCAACACCTGCCTTGGCTTCTTTCAGCCCAGGTTCTCTATAATAGCATTATTAGTAAACTCTGCCTACATTGTCTGAAGGGTTGATACTGCTGCGCTGTGAGGAGTGCCATCAACTTGTAGTGCAAGATGAGGTGGGATGGAGGCTCACACCATCAACCGTGCTTGCTTTGATCTCTGCAAGCCAGACAGTGGACAGTCCACTGAGCCCGAGGACCAAAACCAGGCTGGGAGTGCTATACAAAGCCATCCGAGCTTCTGTCTAAATTGCTGAAGCAGTTGGTGACCAAGGCCTTGAATACTTCAACCAGTAATTTGACACAAAATGATAAAAGTATTGTACTTTTATTTTTACACAAACATGCACACATACACCCTTGCACACACAGACAAATATCCTGATAACTGGATGGTCTTTAAAAGGAAACATGAGTGAGGTAGGAGATGAGAGGGAGAGATGAAGACATGATTGGCAAGACTTCATTGTGTTGCAGGGTGTGCTAGTGTATTTACATACGCCAGCTGCAAAAGCTGGCTGAGCTGGTGGAGTTGTAGGCGGGAGCTGGCTGGTTCCTTCTCCTTTTCCAGCAGCTGGCTCAGCCCATGCCAGGGGGGCGGAGAAGCTGGCTCCCTGATCTGAGCAAGCCCCGTACCAGCAGCCTAGTCCTGAATTCTGTAGGTGTCCCTTGGGGTGGGGAGGCCATATTCACACTAGATGGGGCTCATTTGGAGCCAGTTAGGATGTGTGTGGGTCAAAGCAGATGCCCTGCTCCCTTTCTGCACTTACTGGGTGCAGGGAGGAAGGGATCCCATGTCATCATGGCCTTTACTTTCCTATGTCTTGGGCAAATGGTAGGATCTGAAAGCATGGAGGAAGCAGTGGCACTGCTGGCATGATTCATTTTCTCGGAGCAGGGTGATCCAGTGGAAATTGGACAGCAGTTGATAGATGATGTTGTGCTCCTTGCCACTGTGTGCGTGAGAGTAAGAGAAACAAGATTTTCAGAAAATGCTGGGGTGAATGAAATGGTATTTCAATTCTTGAATGCCTCCTGTAAGCAGTTATGTAATCATTTCAACGTTTTATTTATTATGTTTTCAATCTGGCCAGTAAATGACATCATCTCAGCAAACTGCCAACAGGGAAAGAAGAGAATAAAATTGCCTCTAAAACCAAAAAAGCTAAGCATACAATGCATGTTTTTTGACATTTCTTATAACCTAGTAACTTGTATTTCCAGGCTGACCTTGGTCCTGATAAATACCTGTCTGACAAAGACCTTCAGTGTGCTGTGAAACTTCTTTCGTCTTGTTCCGTGAGTAGACTACTAAATTTTTAAGGCACTTTCATCAGTATGTTTTCATGTGCATAATACCTGACTTCATACAGATGGATAGTATGCTTTCAAACATTGACCTAGACGGCCATCCATGAATTGGGCCCTGATTCATGGGCATTTAGAGATGTGGATTCGCAGTTGTGGAGCTCCCTTCCCATTATGATTGGCTAAAGAGCTTCATTTGAGCACCTTCTGGAAATATTTTCAAAAAATTATACCTTGCAGTTCTGTGTGTGTTTATTCAGAAGTAAACCCCACTGTATTCCATAGGGTTTACTCACAAGTAAGTGCATAGAATCACAGCCACAGTTGTTTTCTTTAGAGTGAAATGTGGAGTTTAAAATAATATAGATTTTACTAATTCTTACATGTATTTTTCTGTGTTACATATTATTCTTTACTGCAACTCTTGTATTCTGGTAAAGTCTGGGTGTCCTGAGAATAAAAGACAATCTCCTGTAACAGTTGTTAGTATTATTATCTCCCTCCCTCCAAGCCTTGCAGTGTGTAGCTTTGAGACGTTCTCCCCACAACTCTTCTCCCAGAATATTGTGTTTCAGACGTGCTTGTTCAGTGTTAGGAGTGAAGATGTGTGTGCCACAGAGGGGATTGATGCATGATTGTGTGTGTGCAAGGCTGCAAAGAAGGGACCATGATGGAAAGCACATGCAGTAGATCTAGTGGAGAAGATGCATGAGGAGCTAACTTTGCAGAAACTTTCCACTATTGGTAGGAACTAATTTGCATGCACTATATAAAATCTCCATTTAAACAAATTGTGTGCCATGCTGGTTTTCCCCTGACCCATTTATGGAGCGTCCATATAGATACTTCCTTGTACTTCTTGAGGGACTGCATAGTCATTTACAGTGTTATTAAAACCCTCAAGAGCAATATTTCCTCCAGTGGTGCAAGCAAACAAATTTGACATTGCCACAAGTGTGCTGGCTTTAATGTTCATTTCTGAGCAAAACTAAAAGGGATAGCCTTTTAAATGTGACCACTCAGAAGAGCACAAATTGTCTAGAACACGCAACAATATTTTGGCCACCATCTCTCATCACATCCCCATAACTCTGAGCTGCGTTTGTTACAGAGCCTGCTTCCCAGGCATTTCAGTAATTATTTTTGAAGTATGATGTGCAGAGGTATGCATTGAACTGGACCTTGTAAAAGAGTGCTCCCCCCATGAAGGGCTTAACCTAGCTTTACTGAGGCTTCTTTGACTTTCATTGCAGAAGGGAAAAATGCCCGTTCTACAGTTTTTTCCCCAGGGTTCTGTACTTCTCTGCCTTTCTATGTATTTTATGAACTGACTGCAAGGTGGTACGGTGCTACAGCTGCAGTATAGCAGGGTTTCTTCTTTTCACAAGGCTTCCAGTTTCCCATGGTTTAAAACTTAATATCAGATTTTCCTTGCTTTAATGAACACACACACACACACACACACACACACACACACCCCATGGCCCTGCAGGGTGACAGTATTGTGAAAAGAGCCTGCAAACTTCTGTGAGTGAGGAATCACAAGCACACAGCAAAATGCCTTGTGTAGAGAAGCTGAGTGTCTTTTGTGTTTTGCAAACCTTGCTCAGTTAGTGAGGTGCAAGGGATTCCTGCTTCATTTCATGGACTGCCACTCCGGGGAGTGGGTGGTAGGGAAACCTAAAAGGCAATGACATTACATTGTACATTTTTGATTATTAAATGTTGGGTGGAGGGGGTTGGGAAGACAGAAGACATAAAGAATATGTTTTCAGAGCAGCCCCAAGATGACTCTTGTCCTGTCCAGTTTAGCCTCAGTAGGGTGGCTAAACAGGCCTACAAACCAAATCCAGCTCTCCTGGAGTCTTCATCCAATTGTTTGGGGTTTTCCAGAAAGATTTGCTGCTTGTAAACTGATTGTTTGGTGGTTCCTCCATTCTTATACAGTATTTTCCTCACATTTTGCTTGAAATGCCTTTATAACTAAGGCTTAGTTATGGGCAGTTAAGAACCTTGAGCTACAATATGATGGCATGTTTTGTATCCTGGGCCCCTCCTTTTTGGGGCATCACTTTGTTTGCTTTGGGCTGTGTACAGCAGAATGTGACTGAGAGCTTTTTCAGAAAGTGGTTCCCACCCCAGATTTCGGCCCTTTGCCCAAGTCCAGCTCTCAACTAAGAGTGAAAACCTTCTCCAGCATGATGCCCTCCAGGTGTTTGAACTGCAACTTCCATGAACTTTGGCCAGCTTGGCCAAGAATCAGGCATGGCAGAAGGACACCTGGTTGGACAGCCTGAGGCAGGAGGTTTTTGATGTGGCATGACTAGTCTAGCTGGGTTAATGGTAGTAATTTGACATATTCATAATGAAGAATGGCCACATTTAATTTACATTTTGTAAGGAAAGATGTGAGGAATGGGAGCTGATGATTAACATTAAGCAGCTATAAAGATTGGCACAGATGTCCCTGTGAGGAAGGGCAGATTTAAGTTGAGTTGGGAAACAAGGAATATACACTACCTGTTTCAAAATATGTGTCCACAACTCCTTAATGTGTTTGGACAACAAATCTTGATTTGTTTGGACAACTCAGAATGGAGAAATTCACATACCTCATGTTTAGACCTTCTGTCACTTGTGAAACTTTTGCCAGCTTAAACACTCTTACTTTGAATCTAGTTTTCCTGACATATATAAGAATGGTTGCTTTAAATGCCTTAAACCAGAGTCAGCCCATCCATAGAACTGACCCAGGTGATTGCCATGGGTGGCCAAGGGTTCAGGAGCACCTGTTTGGCTGGGTAACTGTTTTGGAGGCAGAGGGTGCTTCAGGATGGTCAGCACCTAGGTCAGCAGCCTGAGGACACTGTGCAGCTATTCCATTCATTTATCTCCTTCACAGAACTTGTGCAGTAAGAAAAAGGATGAAAAAAGGGTGGGGAAACATGGGGATATGGCAAGGTGATCTCCTGCCTCCATAAAATTCTGTGAATGAGGCCAGATGATGTTTTCTTAAAGAGCCAGTGGGGTTAAGTGGTCAAGAGTGCAGGGCTGGGCTCAGGCGATCTGGTTTCTAGTCCTTGCTCAGCCAGCCAGAGCAACCTACCTCATAGGGTTGTGGCTGTGAGAGATTGAGAACAGCAGGAGAATGATGTAAGCTACTTGTGAGTTTTTCAAAAAGAAAAAAAGGAGGAGAACAAATCTAATAAATATTACATAAAATACTGTGTGGCAATACAGAGAATCAGTGTGTGCCTACTCCAATTCTGAGCAGGTCTTAACCAGACAGCATCCCACTAGTTTTCAGGCACAAAAATGAGAGCCTGCTAATTTTGGTTGTAAAATGTTTGTCATTTCTTTTAAAAAGAAAATGAGGGTGGGAAAATTATATTGTGGTCAATTCTTGATCATATTATTGTCTACTTTGAATATATCAAAACATAATGGTATGAATATATCTCTTAATTGTCCACAGGCTGCAGAAAACCTTGGAGGCAAAGTAGACATGGCTGCTTTAACTTGGTAGAGCAAATTAGACAACAGTAAATGTGTGGATTCCTCCAAGAGTGTCATTTGTGGTTCTCTCTCTTCCCTCTATATCAGTTTTCCAGAACCTGATGCCCTCCAGATGTTTTGAACATCAGCTCCCATCAGCCCTTGCTAGCATGGCCAGTGGTCAAGAATGCTGGGAGTTGTAATTCAAGCTATCTGAAAGGCTCCTGGCTGGAGAGTCTGGTATGCATAATGCCTAGGAAATCTATCCTTGCGTCCTGACATTATTTTGCTGTTCCCCATTTCCTGTTCTGCCCCATTGGGTACCACTGCTATGACACCACTACATTAGGTAAGCAATTCTTTGGTGGTGTTTAGGGTTACCCAAACCTTAGACGCTTACCCAAACAGTCTACTTTGGCCCAAATGATGCTTCTCTTGGCCTCTTCCTTTTGCCACTTCCAAACTCCCACTTGATTTAAATGTGAATTGAAAGGGTCTCTGCTTTAGCCCAGGGGATAAAGTTCCTTTATTTTTAATCAACACATGCAATTAGAGTACCTAGGACTTTTGCTAATACATTGAGTGGAATATGGGGTTTAATGAAACCTACGTAACCTGGGCAGTGATTCTATGCACACCTCCTTCAGAGGAAGCCTAGAGCACTCTGGGGTTGGGTGTCTGTGAGTAAATATGTATAGGATATAGCTGTTAATAAACTGTTTTCTTTCTTTTGACAGCATCCTTATATTTACAAAGTCACTTTTGCAACAGCCAACGAATCTTCTGCACTAGTAATTAGGCCTTTCAATGAAAAAGGAACACTAAAAGATCTGATATATAAGGTAGGGTGAGTATGCTCTTGAGGCATAATGTTTTGGGTATACATAGGAACATGGAATTGAGCATGCATTTTATGGGGACAGCATGTTTTTATGTCTGCAGCATTTGATCATTTAAAAAGAAACTTATATTAATAACTGGAGAGCCAGTGGGGTAAAGTGGTTAGAGTGTTGAACCTGGACTTGGGGGTCTAGTTCCCTCAGCCATGAATCTCATTTGGTGACTTTTGGCAAATTACTGATTCAACCTAATGTGCCTTATAGGGTTGTTGTAATGATAAAAGAGAAAGGAGGAGAACCTTGTGTTGTTCAAAAAAGAGCAGGCAATAAATGTAATATGATGGTTATAATAATATAATTAAGTTGTTGATTATATGTGTATTGTTTTAAATGGGTAAACCATTTACAAAAACTGGAGAAGGTGAACACTTAAAAAGCCCTTAAAAAGTTCCAACCCTTTTCAGAGTTAGAGCAGCTTCATCAGGGACAGTCTTACAAATCCAGATTCTTGGAACAGTGTAGGAAAGATAGGCACATCTTTGGAAGCTGGCCTTGCCTTTTCATAATTTGGGCTTGTAAGATTGCCCTGCTGAAAGAACTCTTTAACATTTCATCCTGTTTTGGTGCTTCCATTCAGGTTTTTTAAGAACCCAATAAGGGGCATTCCGCCCCTTCTCCCTTCCACAAGCATGAGTGCTTCTTCTAAGACGATGCTTAGCATAGCCCTCTCATTTAAAAACAAAGTTATATGTGTATTTTTGCCTCAGGGTTCACTTTATTCATATGCAGATATAATCACTTAGTCCAAAACTTAAATGATTAGTCAGCTACAATTTCTTAAATCAGGTGGCACCCGTATGGTATCGTCTGCATTGTTTGACATTAATATAACAGCAGTTTCTTTTTTTAAGGCAAAACCAAAAGATCAATTTCTGAAGAAGTACTGCAACCCTAAGAAAATTCAGGGTCTTGAACTCCAGCAAATTAAAATGTTTGGCAGACAAATACTAGAGGTAAAGGTTTTGTAATCTAACATACATTTATAGTTAAGATGGAAAATTCATTCCAAGATAAGATTTATCGGTACAGCAACTAAAGGGGTATCCAAAGTCCAAGTTAATTGCAGTGTTCTTCTGTACATGCTAAACATGTTACATTGGAATACAAAATCTAAAAAAACCCTTCCAGAGAAAATTCAGGAGTAGTGCCCTCATATGTGTGGGTAGAGAAGTATCATAGTTTGATATCTTTCCTGCAAAATATATCCCAAGTTGGAAAAAAAAAAGATTGCTGTTGAGCAATAGTTCTTTGTGGTTTCTGTGCATCACACATATGGGCTCTGCACCTGTGTGGACTCTACTATCTGAAAGCTTTTCCTGGCTAAACTTGTTCTGATGGGAGTATATGCATATGTACATGTAATCCAGTGATTTTCCCCTGTTCTTTTCCAACCACTGTTTTGGGTGCCTCAAGGTATTTCCTGGCACTTCTACGATTTGTATTACCTTGTAGATTTTTATCTAATCTTTTACGGATCTATCATCTCTCTTTTTCCACTTGCTTCATTTTTTCAACCTTTCTGAAAACCCATTTTTTCCCCTACCTTTGCTCCAAAGCAGAAAACCCTCCTATCGGCCTCTCTTTTTATAGATTTTTCTTCACTATCTCCCTCTCTTTCTCCCCATCCTCCGATGGCTGTCAAAGCAGCCTTGAGGAGATGTGTCCACTGTAAGAGCTCAGTGGGCAGACACTTGCTGTGCTGCTTTAGTCTGGGTGAGGACCGCTGTGTGGACTTCTGGTCACACTGCCAGGCATTCATGTGACAGGCTCAGAGGAACCGAGCAGGTTGGCTCAAATCGGAAATGTGGAGCCGCGCCCTCATGGCTGTTGAGTCCATCAGGGCAAGCAACAAATGCATTCTTCACCAACGTTCTTTTTTGGAAGTGGTAGTAAATCCAAATCCACACTTACCTGAAATGTACTTGATATGTGATGTAGCCAAATGAAGTGGTACAAAATGCTGATGCGCATCCTGTAGGATGGATGTGGCTTGATGAAATGTTGACCTAGTCTGCAGTTGCTGTATAAGAAGGCAAAATCAGGGTTAGGAATAATAAGCATGTCATTGAAAATTAAATTGTCAATATCATACAGTCCTTATATGTATCTATGGCGTGACCACACTTATTTATTTAATTGATAAACCGCACCTATGGCCTTACTTGTAATAGTGTATACAGGTCTGGATAGTATAGAATTGGAAAAACTGCCCAAAAAAAGACAGCTAAAATGATCGAAGGACTGGAGCAACTTCCCTGTGATGAAAGGTTGTAATGTCTGGGACTGTTTAGTCTCATAATCCATGGTCATCCCACAAAGCTGGTCAAGTATGAGATTTAGGACAAATCAAAAGAAGTCATAGTGCATGGTTAGAGTAGGGAACGTGCTTCCATAAGATGCAGTAATGGCCACCAGTTCCCATAGCTTTAAAGAGAATAAGGCTATCATCTTAGCCCTGATGTCTGAGAGCAACCTCCAGCATGAGAGGCAGTATGCCATGTAGGTCAGCTGCTGGAAAACATGATCGGAAAGGTGCTACGTCAGTCATGTCCCTCTGAGTTTCCCACAGCTGGTTGGTCACTGTGTGAACAGAACACTGGAACAGATGGATCCAGCATGGTGGTTCTTACTTTCTTTTCTTACCAGGGTTGTTCATTTTCTCAGTCACTCTAAATCGCTCCCTTTTTGCTCTCCTAGGTCTTAAAGTTCTTGCATGAGAGAGGATTTCCATATGGCCATCTTCATGCATCCAATGTGATGTTGGATGGAGATACGTGCAGGTTACTGGACTTAGAAAATTCATTGCTGGGACTTCCATCCTTCTACCGGTCGTATTTTACACAGTTCCGTAAAATTAATGTACGTTGGGCAAATACTTTCTGCATGGGAATTCACTATGTGGTGATCACACATTAAACTGTGGGTGCTTTGGGCTTGCTCAACTGACTGAAGTACTGACAGAAAGATGGGAGGTGAGGGTTTGTGATCCTTGAGAAAGGTTAACACTGTTACAACACGAAACCTATCTGATTGTAGCTTCACCTTCTTGGTAGTCCTGACCATTCTGACATGTTTTAATTGCATGGAACTGTTGTAAGGAGTCTTGCTGAACACATCGTGCTGTGCTGTTTAAAAACATTTCCATAATGTGCTTTAACCATGAGTGTAAAACATAGACAAAGGCAGCACTTTATGTCTATTCCTGAGCAGAATCCCTCAAATTTTTGAATCCCTTACACTGAAAGCTACTTTGAAGTAAATTCTGTTGCACTCAACAGGTCTTACTTCCAGGTAAGTATGTACAGGATTGTAGCCTTTTTTACATTTAAATTTTATTTCCACATCATGTTCATGAAAACAATAATATATATGTACACTAAGGGTAAGGGCCTGCAGGTGGCGCGGTGGTTTAAACTGCTGTGCTGCTGGGCTGGTTGATCGAGAGGTCGCCGGTTCAAATCTGCACAACGGGGTGAGTTCCCGTTGCTCTGTCCCAGCTTCTGCCAACCTTGCAGTTCGAAAGCATGCACATGCAAGTAGATGAAAAGGTACCACTTTGGTGAGCAGGTAACAGCGTTCCACATGACCGTGGAGACTGTCTGCGGACAAACAGTGGCTCCTTCGGCTAGGAAACGGAGATGAGCACCGCCCCCTAGAGTCAGGCATGACTGGACTTAATCTCAAGGGGAAACCTTTAGCTTTTACCTTTACACTAAGGGTATGATCTGGAGTCTCCTGACATTGTCTGGGGCCATAGGATTATTCAGAGTCCCAGTGCCAAGGTCCCCTGATGCAGAGCTGGGACCTTGAATCTGGACCCTCTGCCCTACCCCTTGCAGCAGGTGCAGAAGGAACCAGACATTAACCTTGGGGAGGGTTAAAGGAGTGGCTGGGGGCAGGGAGGGGAGAATGCTGGGGTCTGCCCCTTCCTCCTTTCCTCCCTCTCCAGAACACTTGATCTAGGAAGCCAAAATTGCCCCTGCTATGCTTTATGCCCTGCACTAGATGGACATAAGCCTTCATGTCTGCCTCAAGGGTGGGTGACATAGAACAGTGCTGTCCATTACTTACCAATCTATGACATCAGATTATCGTAGTAACCACTCAACCAAATATACCCAAATTTTATTACGTATATGCATTTGTCGTAGTTAAATGAAAACTAGGATAAATAGGACAAAGCATCAAATACTACTTACCTTTGCACTAGTAATTTAAGTGGGTGAAGAAAGGGTATATATTAATTTCTATACCATAATTATTTTTCTAGTATATTTTCTAGTATATTTTAGAATAAAACTCTAAACCTATAACAAGCTAGAAATTAGTAGTTGCTCACTGTACAGCATTTAGCACCTTTTTGGAATATTCTGTGAGTAAACATTAATAGGATTCTGTGACAAATATTCTAGCAAACTTGATTTTTGAAAAAACCCCTCTTCATTTGCAGACTTTAGAAGGTGTTGACGTGCATTGCTTTGGTCACTTGCTATATGAAATGACTTATGGGAGACCGCCAGACTCTGTTCCTGTAGACAGTTTCCCTCCAGCACCATCCACATCTGTAGGTCAGTATGCACTTGAAGCAACAATTCAGTCTCGTTCAGAAAGAAACTTGTATTATTGGTGGGGTTTTTTTATCCAGCTGTAAGGCTCATCCACACACAGCCTATAGCCTTTTTTCCTACTGATTTGAGTGGTCCAATATCTCTACTGCTAAAAGCAGGGATTAAGTGAACTGGTCTTCCATATTTCTGAGTCTTCTCCAGGCAGTCTCTAATTCTTGCTAGGAATCTGTGATTTGTACATTTTGCGATAGTTTAAAAAATGAACTTCTAATGCCCAAGATTCCTGAAAGATGGGATAGCAAAAATCTTTCACTGTGTTCCTTGTGTTGCCTTTTTTTGAGCAATGTTTCTTGTAAAAAGTGGCCTGCTCCCAGGATATCCAAAAGCATTTCTAAGAGACACGCACAGCTCTTACTGAGCATTTTCCTCTGCCCTTCTTCCTGCTAGCATACCATCCTTTGTCCTCCAGTCAAGGCAAAGCAGATACTACAAGATCTTCCTCCTTGTGGTGGTAGTGCTCCCTTGAACGTAATTTCTCCATTTCTCTCTCCCTCCCCTCAATCCCCTCTTTAGTGACTGTACTGGAATCCATTCTTTCTCCTGAAGCCATGAAGAATGGCATGCCAACTGTTTCCCGGCTTCTGCAAATGCCGTAAGTCCTTGGTGGCAGAGTGACGCTGTCTCTTTGTTCACAGTTCTTAGAGCTGGCTTTGGTTTCCATGACCGTGCAGGCCATCTAAGGTTCTACTGCAGCTATGTCCTGTGTAAGTGGCTGCTTGAACTGCGCCCTCACTGGTTGAGAGTCACATGGCATCTCACCCAGTTGTATTAATTTTGGTGATGCCATTACCTACCTGGGTTGAACTTGATGTCTCATCCAAATAGCCTACCAGATGTAGCTGCAGAACAGTTAAAATGAAAGGGGAACTCTTATCTCAAGAGCAGATAATGCACAGTGTAAAAGAGGACTAGATGTGGTTTTGAAAGTGTCTTTTCTGTTTCTTCCTCAGGCTGTTCAGTGATGTCCTTTTAACAAATTCAGAAAAAACACAGTTTAAGGTACAGTTGACTGACACTGTTTGACAACTTGTTTGTGATAGGATTTCAACTGTTTTTCAGTCTGATCCCAGTTAAGTCCTTTGCACAGCTTTATAGCCTGAAAACATGCTGGGTCTGTTCTTTGGAGATAGAGATGGCACCCATAACCTGCCTTGGAAAGTAATTTTAGTATGCTACCTATACCAGTTAAAATAGATTGGGTTGGCACTTGGAAATGAGTGAGCCTCCTTCTGGGGTTCCCAAGCCCCATCAGATTTTTAGAGGATATTTGCTTGAAATCCAACATGGGATGATTAGATTCAGTAGTGATGCTATAAAATTTTTCTTTCACTCCTCAGATTCCCACCAAGTTAAAAGAAGCACTGAAGACTGCCAAAGAAAGCATAGAGAAAAGACTAGCGGAAGAGCAGAAACTGGTAATTTTTCAGTTTACCCTTTAGTTGGGCTGACAGTGCCTCAGTCAAGTTTATGGTGTGCTTCAGAAATACTGTTCAGAAATAATGAGCACAGGATAGCATATCAGAACCATAGCCTGTTAATGCAGTTGGAGAGGCCTGGGTTCAAGGAAACAGTGATGGTAGCATGTGATTGACAGTTCTCCAGTATAGAGGAAGTCATTAAAGAAGAGGGAACACACATGCTCTACGGGAAGAAGAGCACCAAAACAGGCTTAAATTACATCTTCAGGAAATGTTTTTTCTTTTAAACATATAATCATAATCGTAATTTGAAAGTAAGTCGTATCGTTTACTCTCCTTAAAAGATTCATCATCACAGAAGGCTGACAAGAGCTCAGTCTCATCATGGATCAGAGGAAGAGAAGAAAAGGAGGAAGATCTTGGCACGAAAAGTAAGCATCATTGCAATACAAGCTGAATAAAATCTGTTGCTAAAACTTGTTTCCATTGGCCTAAATCCAGCATAATGTTAGCAGACAGAATCGTGCCAGCAGAGCTCTGCTGCTTTTCCCTGTTGTGCAAGAACTAGCAGAGCACTTTGTAAACTGATGATCTGCAAGCAGTTGTGTAACAGGAACTTTAGTTGGATTCTTGCCTTGGGCATAGTTTGGTACTTGGTTTCTGTTAGTGGAATGTCATTTGTGCTAACAGAATCATGCCAATGGATGCAACCTATTATAGTCATTTACTGAGTATCTGAGTGAGTGGTTGCCTGTTTTACTTATTGCTCATCACAGTTGTATGCCACTGTTGGACCAAGGAATTCTTCCTTCTGAAGGCTGTTTCCTGCAGGAATGGAAAAACCAAAAGCAGTCATCTCCGATCCAGTGTTCTCTAGATGGTTTGGATGACAACTCCCAGCATTCATGACCATGAGCCATGTTGGCTGGGGATCCTGGGAGTCCGTCCCAAACATTTAGGGGGCACCAGATTGCAGAACTCTGTTCTCAACGGGTGAAGGAAAGGTTCTCAACAAAGGGAGCCATCTTTCTTTTCCATCTGCATGAAGAGGCTATCAGAAGAGCATTCCTAGCTAATAGATGACGGGAAGATTTGGAATCCAGGTCTCATGATTTTGAAACTGACGTTATGCTGCAACAGTAGTGGTGAACACTAGCTGCAGTTAAACACTGAGGCTGGAACTTGTGCTGTTCAGAAAGGAAGCAACCATGGCAATCGACAGCATTGTATAAGCACACTTGGTCCCTTAAGTCAGAATTTGGGCACTGTACTAATTCTAATAGGGATAGGGAATGTAAAATGTCAGGTCCTTTGGAAAATGAGGGGAAGGATATGAAGCAGCAGCTAACTGTTTCTTCTCTGTCTGGGTTTGATGCCTATAGAAGTCTAAACGCTCAGCCTTTGAGAGTGGAGAAGAACAAACAATGAAATACAGCAACTCCAACAATTCAGGTAACTATAGTAGGACAAAAGTTTCTGTTGTGACATGTGGCACTGGAGTAAGGTTTTTGTCCTGGTGTTCCAGATCCCTCTGAAACACTGAGGAAAACTGTTCCCACTCTTGTCTAAAGGTTGTCAAATATCAAGCAGTGAACTTCTCAGGCTTTCTCCAAGAGAGTGATTGAGGTGTTTAGGATTTTGTTGGTAGTTTTTTTGCTTGTGGGAGTGACGATTGGTGCTGACCTGCCCTGATCAAAGCAGTCCACCAGCACCATCCAGACAGTTGCTTTCTTCTCAGTGTAAATTTGATGAGTTCTCAGAGACCAGCAGCTCTAATAATGAATGTCACAGCTGTTTGATGCAAAATTTCACCTCTGCTCATAGCAGCTGATCTGGGCCTTGTCCCTGTGTGGGCGAGCACCACCCACCACTTATCTTTCTGCTGTTACATTTCACTATTTAAAAAAAATCATTAGGCTCATGCATCTCCCATCATGCCTAGTTTGACCCTTGTGTTTTTGCTATTGCCGTTTCTTACTGTAATCAATAATTCAGTTCTTTGCAGCCCTTTTGGTGGTATTATTTAGTCTTCCTCTTGGCTGTTGATTTGGCAAAACCCACCTGCAAGTCTCTCACTCTTTAGCTGAGGGTACAATCAGCAAAGTATCTTGCTGGAACGCTACTCTGCCTTGGGCGTGTTTATGCTGGTTTGCCATTCATCAGCGTACTCTGTGATGGCCCCGGTCTCATGGATACAGTTAGCCTGGGGGGAATCACGCAGAACAGCGCTGTCCTTGTGCCAGCTGCACTTCTTTGATGCTTGTTTTCATTTTTGCCTCATGGCCCTTTATCTTAGTCTTCAGCTTAGATAACAGACAAATTACATAATGTTAAATGAATGCTTGTATTTACCGTGTATGAAGAAACTGAGATAAAAGTTTAATTGGTATGTATCATTTCAACCCTTGACATCTGAAGGAGTTAACCATAAAAGGAAAATGAATGCATTTTACTGCATGCTTGTGCCTGAGTGGCATTCTGGCCAACTGGCAATTAATATGAAAGTGAAAACGAAACCAGATTCTCTGTATATGGAAAGGCAGCATTGAACTTGGTGGCATCTGACCAGGGAATAACTGGACAACGTGCAGATGCCCCTTGATGGAGGTTGACACAGAGATGGGGGTGGTGGAATGTTGGTAGCCCCGAGGCCGATTGCCTTGATTGCCTGGGGGCTTCTAACTGGGTGAATAGGAGAAGCTGTGGAGTGCCTGACTGGAGAGTTGCCTGAGGAGGTGTTTCCATGAGAGGCTGGGGGACCTGGAGGAGACATCAGCCAAGAGGAGAGGGATTGTCTGGTGGTGAAAGAAGATCCTCATTGCTTAGGGATAGGGAAGGTTTCTCCCAATATACAGGTCCACACTCCAAGATCCAACTTTTCCACATCATGACTGTTTTAAAAAGCAAATTCAAAAGAGCAGGTGCAAGGACAATGAAGATCAGGGCTATGGCAGTGTGGAAGGGGAACTTAACCCCCTCCCTCCCTGACAACCCAGTCCCTTCCCTCAAAATTACTAGTTTGCATTGGAACAGAAACTTCTAAGTTTTTCTCTCAATGTATTAAAACACTTTGCGTGGGGGAAGCATTTTCATTGGGACTATAGCCAAGAAGGAAAGAGATAAACTCACCCCCTCCCAACTGTGATTCTGATTTTGCATGTTCCCTTCAGTACCTCCCATTTTTTTCAGTCATACCAATTTTGTTTAACTTTGGCCTGCAGCCCACTTCTGGTTGTTCTTTCAGGACTTGCTGTTTTTTCAGCAAGTCTGCTGTTAAGTAGGAATTTTGAGGCTGGACCTTTTCAGCAACTGTGCATGTTTCTTATTCAGCAGGTTCTGGGGCAAGTTCACCCCTGACATCGCCTTCCTCCCCTGTTCCACCTTCTACAACAGGTGAGTTCAGAGTTCACCCTCCTGCCAGCCTATTTCTGTCTTGGTTTCATTGCTAAGCAGTAGGGAGGCAATCTTTGTACTTATAAGAGGCAAATGGTTTGTGTCTTAAAAACTACCTTGATGGCCTTTTGCTTTTACTGCATAATTGTATAAAGAGTTCTGGTTCTGGGTTTCTTTTTGATAACACAGGAAATTGTTTCAGCCCTCTTGACATGAGTGGAGCTGACTGGAGCCAGGGGTCAGACTAGATGGCCCGGGAGACCCCTTCTGATTCGCTCTGTTTCTGTGTTTCTGTGTTTACAAATTTCTACATTAATACTTGATAAGACTTGACTTCATAGTTTTCACTACTTTCCCTCTGCTTTCCTCTTCTTAATAGCCCAGGGGGGCTGTATGGGGTTCACCAAACAGCATTGGCAGTACTTAACACAGCCTGGACTCTGTCCAGGCTGCTTGCCCTTGTCATTCATGAATGTCTTCGTAGGCACTCAAATTAATAGTTCTCCTGTGTCAGTGGTGCAAACAGCTGTTCTTTGGCATGCCACTGAAGGATCACTATGGAAAAGCATTGGTTCAGGGAAGGATTTTCAGCAAGGGGAAAGGGACTGAAGCAATTCCATCTCATAGTGGAAACAGGTGACTGTAGATCAGCTGTTGCATAATATGGCAGTTAGGAGAACGAGCTATGAGTCTTTGGTTCCAATCTCATATCAGTCATGGAAACACCAAGATGTCTTCATGCAGATCTCTCTTTGTGCAAAATCAATGTGGGGATAATAGTGTTAAAAAGATTACACAGCAAAGCACTCTGAAGCTTCTGAAGCTTTCTCTGTAAAATGCTACATCTCGGCATATTTTAGGTATGCGAGCCCCCAGGTTCCATCTATAGACGTGCCAGGACATGCCTGCAGGTGAAGGTCTCTTCTGTTTCAGTAATGATGTTAAATGTTACCTTGAAAACAAGCACTGTCTGGCAAAGAAGCCCAGCCCATACCGATCTCGGGAAGATGGCCACTCGCTGTGCAGGTAGATAAGCATTTAAAGTGAGGGTGTGCTTCTCACTCCACTGTGTTGCTTCGCTGTTTTTCTATCCAACATTAGGATTTTAGATGACATCTATATTATGGAAGAGGCAGGGAGTGCCGCCTGAGCATGTCCTTGCCCTGCCGTTATCCCATACAGATACTTGATGCAAAGTGAGCAGCATGGTGGTGTTGCTTGGCCCTGACCCCTTTGGATGTTTTTCCAGGGCACCAAGGCTGACTTGCCCTCCTCAGGGACTGGTCCGGTGTCTTGTCAGTGCAATGCGCTAGAAAAGGTGCACAGCTGAAGAAAAGAACTAATGCTGCAGCTGCATAAGGAGCCTCCAAAGCATGACAGTGTTCATCCCTGGCACTTAATCTCCTGTCTTCCCGGCCTCCTGCTCACTTACTATACCCTCCCCATTTTCTGGAAGGGGGAACCTTTGGTGGGACACGATAGACGCATCCTCTGGCCACTGGATCCTCAGACTATGGCCCGCAGCCCAGATCCAGCCCACCATGCCCATTTAACTGGCCTGCCATAGAGGTTTTGGACTTGCCGCATGCGGTGAGACGCCGGCTTGCTTGCAAGGAGATTGTTTTCTCCGAGCGAGTCCAAAATGATCTCCTTGCAAGCAAGCAGGTGCTTTGCCCCGGCTTGCTCACAAGGAGTTTATTTTGGACTCGCTCGCAGAAAATGATCTCTGTGCACGTCCCCCCCCCCCCAGCCTGCGCCCCCCTGCCTGCACTGCCCTGGTGGCTTGCACTGCCAGCACCTTTCAGCTGGCCCCCTGTTCAAAAAGTTTGAGGACCCCTGCTCTAGCCACTGGGGTCCACCATCAGGCTCATCTTTGTGCTGAGCAGAATGTCAAAGCCAGCCAGGAAAGCCAGAGCTAAGTGCTGGTCAGTGAAGTCAGTCTGTGATGAGGGGTAAACCAACTCCTAGTTAATGCCTGCTGCGTCGTTTTTGAACTGTGATGCATTTTAGCAGGAGCAGCCCTTGCTCTCAAAAGAGGGCAGCACCTTCTGCAAACGGTGCCTCTATCAGTTCACAGCGTGTTTCAGGAGAGATGCTGAAGTAAGTGAGGGCTAAAAGAGGTAGCGTGGCACAGCAGTTAGAGCGCTGGACTGGGCTTTGGGAGAGCTGAAGGCAAACCTCCGTGCAGCTGCGATGCCTGCTGGGTGACTTCGGGCCAGGCAGGGACTCACAGCTTAACCTACCTGAGAGACTGCAGGGTTGTTGTGAGGATGAAAGGGAGAAGAGGATGACCATGGCAGCTGCTTCGGGTTCCTTGCAGGAGCAAAGAAGCTGGGATATAACGGTAATAATGGTGTTATGACAACAAACTACATACTAGGATAAATGCATAGCATGCAGCAGACTCTCATTTTTCAACCACAGTGCAAGTGTAGGTGGGCCCCCAAATTTCTTGGGGAACACTGTATATGAATAAAGAAAGCTTAAACAGCCCAACTTTGTGCAAGATTAATATCTATTAATACTGATATGATGCAAATGTTTATTTTTGTTTCCTTGGCACAAATTCATTGAGTAGAGCTGATACTGAGAGTGGCCTAGACCAGTGGCTTTAAACCTTTTTACAGCTGGGGACCAGCAAAAATAGGAAAAAATTTTCAGGGACTGCTGAGGCAGGAATAAAAAGCATTATACACATAATATAGTATTTTTGTATTAGTTTTTAAATATATAACAAAAATGAAAATTCTCTAAAATAACCAGAGACTGAACTGTAAAAACGCTAATAAAAGAATAAAATGTTGAAATTGAATGTAATCTAATACAGCTGAAATTTTTAGAGAGCAATATTTAATTCAAATAATGCTAGTGTGAAATCTGGTGTTGCTTCTTTTGAAGAATACTTGATAAAATTTACAATAGCAAAATATACAATCCACATATTTTCATCCAGCAACACCCTGAAATGGCCTTAGACCAGAGTGCATTTCCAACATCACCAAACATGGATAGTGATGCATGTGTGTGCACGTTGCTTTACAAACTTAGCATTCTGTGGTGTGATAACTCTTAATAAATACAGTTAAATCATGTAAAATTTTAGTTGGCTTACATTCTCTCTGCATCTTGTTGCACACTTGACTTTCTTTGTGTCTTGCTCCCAAAGCAAACAGAGAATTTGTTCAAGTGGCATTGGGAAAAAAACAAACACCGAGTAGAAAGGGACTCTGGAAAACATGGGAAGCTGTCTCTTGTCTGCCGTGTGGCAGCTGTAATGACTGTTGCGGTGGAGACAGGATTTCTGCTCCCATCAATTTGATTGCTCAAAGTTGTACCTCAAAAAGGATAATAAGAACCACATCAAACAAAATCTCCCTTCCTACCTTTGCAAAGTTGTTTGTTCTGTTCTGGCTCTTTTTTGCCTTCTGTAATCTTCCCTGGGTCTTAGGAATGAGAACAGCTAGAAGTGCAATTCATGCACTATTTCTCAGATACTCCTATTGCAGAAAGGCTACAGTGTTATGTTCTCTCCCAGTAGAGGATATTATAGATGGGATATTATACATACTCCTATCTTATTATTGATACATTCTGACCTAGCTGGATGTGAACTCGTGTATGCCTACGGATGCTACTTGCATGATGTCCAGCCTGACCTTCAAGCCATGGGCAGCCCCAGGCCAGTGCTCCCCATAGTGCCGGTTGGCTGTTGGAGGTGGCAGGCAGATGAGTGGCCCTGGAAAAGCTGACACCATTAACCGTATAGATGCCCAAACATTTAATCTTTGGCCAGCCGTTGTCTTCCCAATAAGAAACAGGCCTCATCAGGATGCTCTCTGAGAGCACAATGCGAACCTAGAGTCTTTTGTATAGCATTTGGAATTAGCTGGAAATACCTCTTTGTCTCGGTCAGTTACCTTTGCTTGGAAGTCACTTATTCTCCATCCTCAGGGCAGATTCTGTACAGCTGGGTTGTATTCCTTTCCCAGGATGAACTGGGAAACAAGCCTGCTGTAGCCAGCCTACCTCTCTCTTCTGATCATCTGTTTTTTTAGAAGACTAGACACGTCTTCTCACCCAGTTAGGACCATACCACTTCATAATGCGAGGTGGCATTTAAACATTGCATTTTCCTATGTATATTATGAGTTGGTACAGTCCTGAACAGAGAAACAGTATTAATACAACCATAATGGGATTTAAGGGTGGCTGTTTTACAGCTTAGATTATCATGTCTTGCAATGTTGTCTTAATCAAGCCTTGCTCGTTGAAATAATCTTTTCCAAATAAGCACGATTGCAACAGATAACACCAGCAGTTTGCCATTTCTTACAGATCCATCCTATGCATGTCTGCTCAGGTGTCTTGTGTTCTTGTAAACTTCCCAGAATATGGAAACTATTGGGTGGTATAGAAATTCAGTAAATAAAGATGCCCCACTGTGTTCTGCTAGGCTCACTCCCTAGTAAATGTGCTTGGGAGTGAAGCCTCAGAGAGACTCCTCTGCCAGAAAGCATGGTGGCCAAGGGGCAAGTCAGGAAATAACAAGACCAGGGGGAGTGTCAGTGCCTTTGGCCAGCCGACCACTCTCTTCCAGCAGCAGCAGAATTCACCTGTGTTGATGTAGGAGCATCAGACTCACAGCAGGAGAGGCTGCGTGTTTTTGTAGATGCTTCTATCTTTGGGAAGAGATCAGTGGATTTTGAACAACTATTAAAGGCTGCCTGTCCTTAGACAGCAGTGACTGAACTCTGACCAAAAGTACCTTGATAGAAACTCCTCCCACCCACAATAACTGAAGTTTGTGAGTCTGTAGTTTGCATGCAGAAGCCCCAGGTTGGCGCTCGCGCGCGCGCGCTCGCGCGCTCTCTCTCTCTCTCTCTCTCTCTCTCTCTCTCTCTCTCTCTCTCTCTCATTTTTATACCACCCAGTCGCCAGTGATGGACAGCTTTTGTCTGAGACTTTGGATAGTTGCCAGAACAGCTTCCTATGTTCACTGC